ATATATATATATATATATATATATATATATATGAATGGGATCTTCTGAATTCTCTTTGCCTCACACTAATAAAAAAGATAGTAATTTATTATCTATTTATCATATTTATGAATCAATAACTAATAAATTGAAGCAATAATATATAAAATTAAACTAAATTGACCGATAAGCACCTTAATAAAAGGAGGCGTTGAAGGCAATTTTAAGAATACAAGAATCAATAACCTCACATAATTCTATATGTATCAAGGTTTTTCGTGTCCATATACATTATTTTTACAAAAAAAAAGTATTAATTATATTTAATGCTTAGATTTTAATTTTCACATTCATATATATATAAAGAAAAATGAATAAAAAATATTTAAAAAATCCAATTAAATATATGTATTTATATTTTGATACAAAATTATTATAGAAATATATTTGAGTGGAGGGTAAAAAATGATCCACCAAATCTTTATGGACATTTTGATAAACTTCCCATTAATATTATAGTATATTGAGCATTATATGCATCACACTTCATATCATTTTTCCCTAAATGTATTCAAGATTTGTCCAAACTAACAAGGTATATAATGGAATTAAATTATTAGATATGACACAGCTAAAAGGAGAAAAATAATTTACTGCTAAAAATAAATAAAATTGATGATTACAAATAAGTTGAATAGAAATTTATTGTTAAGTCTTACACTTTAATTATTGAGAGGGGAAAACGAAAAACATTGCATATTCAATACTCCATTCATATAGTATATACACCATATGACATAATTCCCATGTTTAGTGTAATTTTTCTTTGTTATACAAATTTCATCGAATCTGAATTCAATTTTGGGAAAGAATGCGATGCCCCAATTGTAGAATGACTGAAGATGGAAATTTAATCTCATCTTCGATCACTCTACAATTGGGCATGCATTTTACCCCTACCACTGAATCTAATCCAATGCAATTTGCTTAACAAAAAAATATCCACTTTCTCTTTGTAATGTGGTTCGACTAATATGTTATGTGTATGCTCACTGGTAAGAAGGATCGATTCTACTAAATTAAATTACAATATAAAAAATATTGTTCTTATTTACTAAAAAAAAGTACTCACTAATTCACTTCAACAGAAGTTCCACACAAATATTTTTTAATGCTAATTCTTAAATATTAGGAGTATCTCACAGACCTCTTTATTTATAGGCAAAAATTTCAACCATTTTTTATTTTGGTCAACTTAAATTAAATTCTGAATTAATGGATGACAAATTCGGTTGAATTTTTTTAAGAAAAAAACTTGAATTAAATTAATTGCGACGCTAAGATCCAAATGCCACTATTTCTGAAGGTCTTTTGTACCCCTACGTTTATGCCTTTATTATTTTTTAAATGTGTTGGATCCTTCAAACATTTTTTTTCTATTTTATTCTTATACTCGCTCCGTTTCTATTCATATGTCCCCATTTTTTAAAATTTCATGTATATTAAGAAATTAAGTAAGTTTACTATTCTACCCTTTTTTAAAAAAAAATTGAAGTCAACTTTTCATTCAATGAATATGAATTAATTTATTTTGATTAATTAATTTGACCAATAAACATAAATTATTCACTTTTTTCTATGTTGGTCAAATGTATATTTTCAAGGCTAATAACTCACAAGAGTAAAATAGGAAGAATATTATAATTTATGCATTGTTATGAAATGACAAGTATTATAAACGAACTATTATAATAAGGATAACATATAAAAAGGAACAAATGCAGTAGTAATTAGTCATTTCTCAAATTTTGAGTGCTTTATTAAACAAATGTTCTCCTTATTCTAATTCCTCACCAAGTAGACAAGTTATGACAGTTTCAACAATTTGTTGAGCATCACATTTGGATACGAATATAAAGAACCAGATTTCATGATATATATGACTTCCCGTGAAAATTATGACCTCCATCCTGCTCCATCAACCTGCTCGAAATCACGATAAAATGAAGTCATTTACAATGGAATGTTAAAGATAAGGCAATGAAATTAAGTTGCGGATCAAATGATTGACTAAACAAGGCATCAAGCTATGGCGGCTTTAGGGAGGGATTCTCCAGTTAGAAATTCATGTACAGCAATGAAGGAACCATGGCTGTACAGGAGAAACTAATAGCAATAACTTAATTAATGTTTTCCTAAGGATAGTTCAGAAGTTTGCATCATACAACCGTTGGTGAAATATTATAGTCATGTCATCGTACTGTTTTAGTAACTATTCACAGGCGATTACAAACTTGTAGTCCGAACACAAAGCATAACTGCTGCCACTTCCTTTAAGTTGACAAAATCGCAAACTTGATACTTGGATGATAAGTTATTTCTGCTTCTTGGACGGCTTATTCCTGGTCTGCCTTGGTTCAGCCATTTGCTTGGTGGTCTTCTTCCCCTTTGATTGTGTTTTACTAGAAAGCTTTTGATCCTTGTCTTGTTCACTATCATCATCATCCCCACTAGCATCATTATCGTCCGTGTCTTCCCCATCATCACTTTCCTCTAGTTTTCTTTTTGCAGCCGTATTTGTTCCTCTAGTTTTCTTCTTTTGATCACCACCTTTTCCCTTGGAGCTTTTGTTTTGTTTTGCTTTTCCATATTTCTTTGGAGCTTCATCACTATCATTTTCATCGTCACTGTTGCTTTCCTTTGACTTCTTGTTAGTAGAAGCTCTCTTAGTATTTGTCCCACGCTGCTTCACCTTTGACTTCCCAGCTGCTGTCTCTTCAATTTCTGGCTCTTCATCTTGACTATCACTATCGTTATGCTTGATTTTCGGAACTTTGACCTGTTGCCGTTTACCTGCTGCTTTTGCAGATTCGGCCCCCGTATTCTTTTGTAGCTCTGGAACAAAGGCTGATGTCTACGATTAAAAAAAAAAAGTGTTATCCAGTTACACTTGAGATACGGTTAACCAGAAAATAGCGTTACAGAACCATACCCTGCCACCTGCCGTGATGAATTCTATTTTCTTCCCTGCAAAATACACATTTTTCTGTCAATGGTAATCATGTAAAAAAATAAAATTGCAAGCATATAAAAAGCTGCAAAGTTTTTATCTAAAATGACGACAGAACACTGAGCACAAAGAAAGCAGATCTATCACTTTTTTATTTTATGTTTACAAACATGCAAAACTACTCAATATATCGTCTGGCAGTTGCAAAACAAAGCAGAAAATATCTACTTCACGACAATGTGGATATGATGAGCAAGGATGATGAGAATAACCAAAACCCAACCAGGAGTAGCTTAAAAGTGAGGAGCCAAACCATCAACAAAGGCCTTGCCAGGTTTCTTTTCCCGGGAATGGAAAATCCAATTAGTAGGATACTGACTACTATCTGCCCCAACTTCCACAGCTTTTTTGATGACCTGTTACATACAATTATGTGTCAAAATGAGGATGCATATGGAAAACTATCTCACCATTAACTTTTCCAGGCTTTTTGCCCCATCGGTAATGAAACAACCATTCAGAAGGGAAGCGGCTGCAATCAGCATCCACTTCAACTGCAAATTCTGTAACCTAGAAGTATCATCTCCAATAGCTAGCCATGAGGAAAGAAGTCTTATACAAATGATAAGTGATTGCAACAGCCAGTTCAAGAAAGATGACTACCTCGTTAATGCACTTCAGCAATGTTGCACAGTCCTCTTTGGATATGCTTGAAGCAGACTGCATAGGATGGATTCTTGCCTGTCAAAAGAAACTTCACAAAGTTAATCACAAATATTTCCAATGGGAGCTTTCTCTTATTTGGTCAACTTCACAAGAGAAAGCAAAAATTTGCTAGCAACACCAGTCTGTATCCAAACTGCTTACAGCGGAAATGAAGAGACAAATTTGTCCATTTATTAAAGAAAAATAGTAACTAGACTTTGAATGAGCAAATAACTAAATAAAATTTGTAACTTGCAGTAAAATGTAAAGCTAAGAAACTCAAAATTCTTGTATTATGGCCAAGAGTTGAGCACATCACCTGATATAACACTTCGTCTGCAATCCAGTTGCCAATTCCTGAAATAAAACTCTGCAGAAGCAACAGCAGGAAAAAGATTTATAATGCCTACAAGAAAATGGCTAAAACTCCTAATGAATTTAAGGGTGACTTCACGACAATGTGGATATGATGAGCAAGGATGATGAGAATAACCAAAACCCAACCAGGAGTAGCTTAAAAGTGAGGAGCCAAACCATCAACAAAGGCCTTGCCAGGTTTCTTTTCCCGGGAATGGAAAATCCAATTAGTAGGATACTGACTACTATCTGCCCCAACTTCCACAGCTTTTTTGATGACCTGTTACATACAATTATGTGTCAAAATGAGGATGCATATGGAAAACTATCTCACCATTAACTTTTCCAGGCTTTTTGCCCCATCGGTAATGAAACAACCATTCAGAAGGGAAGCGGCTGCAATCAGCATCCACTTCAACTGCAAATTCTGTAACCTAGAAGTATCATCTCCAATAGCTAGCCATGAGGAAAGAAGTCTTATACAAATGATAAGTGATTGCAACAGCCAGTTCAAGAAAGATGACTACCTCGTTAATGCACTTCAGCAATGTTGCACAGTCCTCTTTGGATATGCTTGAAGCAGACTGCATAGGATGGATTCTTGCCTGTCAAAAGAAACTTCACAAAGTTAATCACAAATATTTCCAATGGGAGCTTTCTCTTATTTGGTCAACTTCACAAGAGAAAGCAAAAATTTGCTAGCAACACCAGTCTGTATCCAAACTGCTTACAGCGGAAATGAAGAGACAAATTTGTCCATTTATTAAAGAAAAATAGTAACTAGACTTTGAATGAGCAAATAACTAAATAAAATTTGTAACTTGCAGTAAAATGTAAAGCTAAGAAACTCAAAATTCTTGTATTATGGCCAAGAGTTGAGCACATCACCTGATATAACACTTCGTCTGCAATCCAGTTGCCAATTCCTGAAATAAAACTCTGCAGAAGCAACAGCAGGAAAAAGATTTATAATGCCTACAAGAAAATGGCTAAAACTCCTAATGAATTTAAGGGTGATATTTTTTATTTTTATTTTTATGACAAGGGAAACCCGCAGCCGCTACCCTTTGGGTGCGCACAGGGTAAAAACCCCGCTCCTATGCAATAGCTCGCAAACCACATAGGAGAGGTAACCCACACTAGGCAAGCCCGGTGCGACGAGCTCAACCCAGAAGGCAAACCCCTTGCTTTTGCTGGCAAGGGGTTTCGAACTTGAGACCTCCAACATAGAAGTCCCAAGCCCAAACCACTGGGCCACCCCGAAGGGTCATTTAAGGGTGATATAGCTTTTCTCTTTCCTTGTAAAAATACTGTTTATTGAATTTTCTTATACCGCAAGGGAGTTTCAATTATATGCTATTAAATCTAACCTTTACCACATGCTGGCTCCTAATGTTTAGCTGGATGACAATGTTTGTTCAGAGTAGGAAAGCAACAGATATATAGATATCTTTTCACGCATTAAAGCATTCACAGATAGATGTTACCACTCAGATATGCGCAGCATCTTTTAAGCAGTTGATGCGCAAAATTAACTTATAGTTGAAAATAAACATGAAAAGAAAGGAAAAACAAGAACGTAGAGAACTCATCAAACGGAGATTCTTTTTGAAATGGTAATGACTAATGATTGTAGAAATAAAACAGCACAAAGAGTGTGCTGAGTATACTGTACAAGTCAGCAAAAGCATAAGAAAGAGAACCAAAAGTAAGGCCCTCTTAAACTCTTAGAAGGATTCTAAGAATTCCAACAAAGTTTCTGCCTTATTAGCATACTCCAACTTACACCAACAATGAAACAACAGAAGACAATCAAACTTGCTTCACTGTACTGATTTGAAGTTTTGAAATAAGTAGAGATAGAGTGGTGGTCTTTTGTAGTAGATTAGTATTCCACTTCTAATACATCTGTTTAGATGGATATGCCTTCATCCTAAAATTTTGCATATCTTAATTACTATGTCATTAAAATATGTGGTTTAAAGAATTTCTTTGACCATTTCCCAAAAGTTCATATCCTTAGTCACAGAGAAGTAAAAATCGGTTTCTAACCTGGTCAAGTAGTAAAGCCTTAATGCCAATCTTCTTCTTACTCAAAGCTTTATAGAACTCGTCTACAGTCATCGGCTCCAACAGCGCATCAGGACCAAGCTCAGATATTGGAGGAACAGAAACCGGCTGCAACGACAAATTCATTGGGAGATAACATTCAAGATTTTTGTTCAAAGAGAAGTATCCATGGATTGGTGATAATATCATCTTACATCCTCCAATGAGCGAACCCTGGCAAACCGCCTCTTATCCGTAAATGAAAGCTCCAGACCATCATTCAACTACAAAGTTTGAAAGGTGTCCACATACATCAGTAGCTACATTCATATGCCAGTTTGACCTTTAATAGAATGGCAAAGGAGACAAAGTAGCAAAATGCAAAAACATTTTTCATGGTCCATCTAGTCCTCTTTTCCAGTTAAATGAGGTGGATAACTAATACAACAAGGTGGTTGATTTAAATGCCACCAGTCCTAAGTGATGAGGGTAATTGACTAACAAGAAAACACGTTAATTTTCTCATATGATAGTCGGTCATATACAATGAAGATTTTAATTGGGTTCACTCAGACTATGGTGTGTATGAATGATCTTTTATATTTCAAGAGGGGTAAAGAAGGTTAAAGAAGCCTCATACAGACAAAAAATGAGTCTAAATTTTGTGCATTGAGGAATTTCATGCATCGTTGTTTACAAAGGGTGCAAACATGCTTCTACATCCATATGCTGCATTCACTAATTTCATTTGAGCCACAAAATCACCTCAGACCCATTATCCTTTTCATGAATCTACTGTTAACTTTATAGTTATAAATGTTATGTTACAATTTTTGCCAGCAATTAAAGAAAGAAGACACAACTGACACATTAACTTGTTATAAAGAGTAAACTTACCTCAAGGAAAACCTTTGAATACTTGGAAGGCCACTCATCATCATCTTTTACCGCAGACCTAGAACAATATTACATTTGTGATAAGTGTTGAAGATTGATTCATTCTTTTCTTTGAACAATATCACACATTAGATGAGAAAGCTAATTTGACATTGGCAATTCTTAAAGCAGTCCGTTAATCGAACCTTTTCGAGAACATTTTCTTTTTTGGGATAAGTAAATGAGAAACTTTCCATAATTTGGGTAGACACTTGTGGCCCTTAACCATTTTTTGTTCATCAGTTCGCAAAACAAATAGCTTAACATACTTGACCAGCACAACAAGACATTATAGCTCACCGTTTATATTTTGTAACTGCAACTCCCTTGATATATATAGCACCCGCCATTCCTGACCATAGTTGTATAAAATATCAGAGATCAACTTAAATACACTAGGCAACAGAAATGCCATAATTTCCAATCTGGGCTTGACAGTTTATTCTGTTGTTAAAACCTAGAAAATGCTAAGGAAAGGCAGAGTGAAAATATGCAGGACAAAACTATGAGAACTTCATCAATAACTTAATGCTAAAAGATATTTGTGCCTGAGAGCAATTTGATTTGGACGAAAACACATAGCACACAACTAGGAGAACTTCATCAATATCAAGGATAACTGAGTATAACATATCCAGAACTAGGGTTACTCAGCGCAAAACTTACATGTTTAGTGTGGGCAGCTATTCCATACATGCAATTGTGAAAATACATTCATTTTTAAAACATTTTTATCCAGCAGAGTTCGTTATTAATGGAACTTCTCTAACATTGGAAACAAAATTAGTCAATTTTCAGATGCAGTAAAAATTTTAACAAAAGAAAAGTAGCCTCACCGAACTGGAAAGTAGGAAAAGGAGGGGAATCGAGCTCAATCCACATGTTTTTCCCTTTGCGATTAGCAGCTACGATAGTTTTGCCCTCAAGAGATGCTTTGAAATCCACAGGAGACACGCCGTCGATGACCTTGGAATCGTCGGCGATGATAGCTTTCACAATTTTCTTGCCAATGCAGTTGTCCTCGATGGCTCTTCGAGCTGCTTCTACCTCTGGAAGCTCTGGCATTTTCGAGCTTAGCTGAGTTTCTGAGGAAAACTGGTGGAGTTTCGCGCGTTTTGTCTCCCAAGGGTTTTGTCACGCAGGGGAGAAGGGTGGAACTTGGAAATGATTTTACAAAAGTTTTGATTGAAATTTTAATTATTATTTTTTCAAAATAAAACATCGCCTATTTTAAAATTTAAATAAGTATTTGGCCATTAAGTTTAAATATTTTCATTTTATTTATAAAATTATGTTTTATTAAAATTACATATGAGAGGAAGAAATTGGGGAAATAAGAAGAAAAAACTACCTAATTAGATATATTTCACTACCATATATACTAGAGTAAATTTTAGGTTTAGCAAATATAAAAATCATATTTGTATGTTATAGGTATAGTTTGTATAATTGCATTTGTATAAATCATTGGCAGTCTCTCATTTGTATAAGTTGCTGGCAACCTCTCATTTATATAAATCATTGGCAGCCTCTCATTTGTATAAATTGCTGGCAGACTCTCGTTTGTATAAATCGCTGGCAGCCTCTCAATTCAATTGTATATATGTAACTACTATGTATATGTATCAATGATTGTGTTTGTATATCTGCATAAAATTTGAATTTGTATACAATTAAATCGAAATAAAATATTTGTATATCAAATCTCTCTTTCTCTCTCTCTCTATTTAAACAAATACAAATTATACATATTATGTATAATTTGTATTTGTATAAAGCGAGAAAGAGAGAAAGGCGAAAGAGAACTGGTAGGGGAATATCTATATTTGTATAATTATAAGTGTATAGGACAAAAATATATGTATTTGTATTTGTATTTGTAGATACAGTTTTCTCTCGCTTTATGCAAACACAATTTATACATTTGTATTTGTTAAAGTGACAGAGGCGAGGGAGAGTGACGAGCGAGATTTGCTGGGGAGAGAGGCAAATGACAACTGTTTTCTACGGATTACAATTAAATGAGCTATTTTATACAATTTCCCTGTATACCATTATTATTTATACTTTCAAAATAGAGCAACTTTCACATATAGCAAACACAAAATTCATATTTGTATGTTATAGCCAAGTTTGCATAATTGCGCTCCATAGCAAACATATATATGTATAATTCGATGTACATATAAAAAAAAACTGTTGTATAATTCGCTATACATATACAAAAGAAAACAGTTGTATACAAAAGATCAATTGTATAATCTGTGTATGTATAAAACGAGAAAGAGAGAAAGGCAAAAAAAAA